TCAAATTGTTAACTGAGCATCTACTTTGCCTACTAGGCACTATTCTAGGCTGACTTGATGTCTTTTCAAATCTTCAGATTCTATATGCATTCAAAGAAACACAATTTATCCTGTTTCTCTTTTTATATTATGCTAGAAAAGAATGTGGACAGTATCATTTTATATACTTAAAAATTTAATTTATTTGTTTATAGCAATTTTACTCATACCTTTAATAATTTTAATTTTTATATATGTCTATGATAAAACAATGTCAAGCAAATTATTTGGATTAATAAATGTAATGTCCTAAATTCCAGCCTTGATTTTAAAATATGGCAAATTAAATGTAATGCAGTGAATTGAATCAATACTGACATTCTGGATCACCCAGCCACCATAAACCCCCATTCTAATGATCTGTTGCAGGATTTTCCCCCACCTGAATTATCTGATAATTGCTTCAAATCTCCATATCCATAGATGTAAGTGGAGATTTCTGTGTTAAACCACAGGACAAGTCAGTAGAAAGATATTAGAGCTTCCTGCCCTTAAATTTTGGTGTTACCAATTCTTCATGTCACAGTGACAAAATTTAAAGCAAGTAAGCACATTTGCGTTTATGGAGGAGAGAGATAGAGATAAGTAGCGAAATTTAAATGTATTATAACAAACTTTGATATTTAAGGTAACTCAATCTCAGATTGTTCGTAGAACACAATCACCCTTACATTTTTTAAGATAATATGGTCTGGAAATTAAATTTTATTGTAAACTATGGATGCCCTTTAATTCAAGACTAAGTACTATCTGATGACCTTAGTGGGGAAAAATATTACTTGTGGAAACATTTAATAATAAGGCTTTATTGATACTTTTATGAAGAGCAGTTATGGCCAGCCACATGGGCTCATGCCTGTAATTCTAGCACCGTGGGAGGCCAAGGCAAGAGGATCACTTGAGGTCAGGAGTTCAAGACCAGACTGAGCAGGAGCGAGACCCCATCTCTACTAAAAATGGAAAAAATTAGCTAGGTGTGGTGGCACATGCCTGTAGTCTCAGCTACTTGGGAGGCTGAAGCAGGAAAATGAGCCCAGGAGTTTGAGGTTGCTGTGAGCTGCTAGGCTGATGCCACGGCACTCTAGCCCCAGTGACAGAGTGAGACTCTGTCTGGAAAAAAAATAAATTAAATTAAATAAAATTTCCATTCATCAAATGACATTACTAAAAGAGTAAAACAACAAACCACAGCTAGAAGATATTTGTACAGTTTCAGCTACTCAGGAGGCTGAGGCAGGAGGATACTTCAGCCCAGGAGTTAGAGGTTGCTGTGAGCTAGGCTGATGCCACGGCACTCTAGCCCCAGTGACAGAGCAAGACTCCATCTCAAAAAAAATAAAAACAAAAAAACCATAT